AAAGTTTTGGAAAAACGTTAGACTTGATGCACTGTGTAAGCCAAGTGTTAACGATTTCAGTGTTTTGTGATGAATTTGCATTAAGTGTTTTTCAGTGTTTTGTCAATAAATTTGCAATTCTATATTTGGATAGACAAAAACAGTCTAAGAAATTTTAAAAAAAACCGATTGGCAATACTACAATTTGAAATCAGTTAATTGGTATCCATCAATTACCCTTTGTGGGTAAGGATACATAAAGTGGCCTTTGTGGCTGTCAGCCTTTGTGGCATTGTTTAGCCTTTGTGGCAATGAATATCTTGGATAGGCCTTTGTGGCTAAAGATATTCACACTCAGACATACACTCACTAGCACACATACACTCAGTCAACCATCCACTCACTTGTTTTATTTGTTCATAGTCATTCATTATTTGTTTGTTTGTTTATTCACTTATTCAATATGTATCTAATTCATTTTATGCATGTGTTAAATTTCTATTATTGCATTACATCACTATTAACCAATTGTTTATGTTTTATTCAAACCAATTTAGATAGAGAGCATACATGTAGCAATTCGAAAGACAGGTTTTAAGTTGAAAATACTTTGATATGTCATATACAAATTATATATAACTTTCATTATCACCTACTAGCATTATATGTTTTGAATATGGGATCATCATGAATCATTGCACTATAATTGTCATCAGTATTCTTTGTTATTGTTGTTGGCTACTCAACTTATGATTTTGTTGTACTTTCACATTAGATTTCATATTTTGAATGAGCAAAGGTCAGTCATGATTTTGGCTTTATTTTTGTTATTAACATTTTTTTGCAGATCGATGACGTGCTGTACATCATCTCACCATAACTGAATGCACTCTCTTTTTGCAATGTCATATATAATGAAAATGTTATGTGCTCTACCATGCTATTATCTAAAACAAGGGAGAATTAACTTCAATCTAGATTTTAAGATTTTTCACATTCACTATATGTACTATAATGCTCTAACCCCCAGAGCTTTCATGCATTTGCATTTGGTTATGGGGACTACGTTTTCCAGAAATGGTTTTTTCGTAGCAGGCAATGCATTATATTTTGTAAATAATCTAAATTATGCTTTTAATAGAAAGATATGTAACTTGGTTTACTCTTCACAATAAATTATGCACTTTATCAGAATGCATACAATATTACCAGAATTCAAAATGAGTGGTTTTCTTTTTATTTATAATATATATCACTGCTAGTCTGACCAATGTGTCTTCCATCCCCCATCTTTATCCAACATACATCATCAGTGCATATCCTTTTGGGAGCTCCGCTATTAGGTTTTACCTAATTTTTATATTACCCTTTGAGATCCTACAATTGCACTTGGAAATTCTGCTATAAGCCAAATTTTCAAATTACTTGGATTGCTCTGAAAATCTGTCACAGTCTTCGCTTTGAGATGGCACGACTGTATTTTAAATATTCTCTGCACAGCACTTAACCCCACGGTGATATCATTTTTTGAAATGGTGCATATCTCCATACATTCTTTGCAATTTGTACGCCTATTTCTTAACTCCTCAGGGTTGACTCTAATCGAAAAACATCTCCCCATCAATCTTGTAGCTCAGTCAAAGTTACTTGTAGAAGTGCGCCTGTTTGCCGAAAAAAGGCCCATTTCATAAACGTTTATCCGCTGTCAGATCCTAGAATTGCACTTGCAAATTCTATGATAAGCCAAATTTTAACATTACTTGGATTGCTCTGAAAATCTGTCAGTGTCTTCCCTTTGCGGTCGGATGACTGTATTCTAAATATTCTCTGCATAGCACTTAACCCCACGGTGATATCATTTTTTGAATTCGTGCATTTCTCCATACATTCTTTGCAATTTCTACGCCTATTTCTTAACTCCTCCGGGTTGACTCTAATCGTAAAAGATCTCCCCATCAATCTTGTAACTGATTCAAAGTTACATATAGAATTGCGCCTTTTAGTCCAAAAACTCTCAATTTTACACACTTTTTTCCGCTTTCACATCCTACAGTGTCATTTCTGCTTTGAGCACAGGTAGCCCAATCGGTTGTGCTTGCATGTGTTCTGTCTTTGGGCTTAAAAATTCGTCTTTTCCGTTTTCTTGAAATTTTTTGGCAGGGTTTCCTTCACTTGTTTATTATCTTTCTAACTGAAGTGTGTTTTTGCTTTCTTTACAACATTTAAGTACTGTAATTCAGTAAATAAAGCGATTGTACTCCTTTTTGGGGCTCACACTTCAGGCATATCAGTGAATTTTCTTCGGTTATTTATTTTCTTTCCCGGTGTTGAACCCATCATTGTATTCCTTTCATCGAAAGCTTTCTTTCTAAGATATCTTTTTTGTGTTTCTAGGTGCAAATATCGTCAGTTTTTGTATCTAAAAGAAACACACATTTAACAGCCGTTCTCTTGATCCGCTGAATGTTGATCCTGATTGGTTACCATTCCAACACCTGAGTTGACCGTTGCAGTTTGAGCGCCATGACGCTTTGACTCTCGAAGAGGTAAGTTTCGTTCGGTTCTTCTCCGTTTTAATTTCTGTTTATACCGCTTTTACTGCGATTTTTCTTCTTTTTAGGCACATTTATTATCGTCAATAATATGTGCATTGTTATTTTCTAAGTTCTTTCGCTTGTTCTCGGCCGTAGAGACACTTTTTCACATTTATACGCGATTTCTAGTCCTTTATCATCATATTCTTAAATTACTCTAGTTTAACTGCACTTTTTTCTTTATTTTTCAGAAGGATTCCAGCTTCACCTATTTGAGGTAAATATCTATATTTTTGTTGTGCATACATCCTCTAGTCATGTTATGAGTTGTGCATAGGTTTTCAAACCGTACTGTTAAGTACGATATATTTCATTCATTTGGGCTGTTTTAATACACTCTTGCGAGATTTTCATCAGTAATGTTCGCCTTGATATCGGCTACAGAGCACGTATTTACTGTCATATTTTTCTACGACTGTTTTTCATTGCATTCAAACGCAAGACGTGGCCGTACATTGTCATGTTTTATAGTGAAGCCTACTATCAATACGTATACCTTTTTACGGCTATTTTTCAATATTATTTACATGCTATGGTAGAACTTGCAATTCAAACTGATCTTTGCTATCTCGTAACGGTCCATTCAAATTCAAAATCGTCTGCCCGTAAGAGTTGTACCTCATGGAAAATAACACTAGTTTCCGCCGCTTAGCCGTAAAAAGGTTATTTTTCACTTGTATACGCTTTTACATCCAACAGTCGCACTTTAGCTATTAAGTGAAATTCTGTTCATTGCTATGGAAAAGTCGTGAAACTCTTCGCGTTCTGCTACGATAACTGTATTTCACACACTATTTGCATAACGATTAACCTCGCGATAACATGATTTTTTTATTCCGGCATTTCACCATAGATTCTTTGTTATTTCGTACGCGCCTGTTATCTCGCAACAGTTGACTCTAATCCAAACAAGTGTGCCCATAAAAGTTGTAGCTCGTGGAAAATCACATACTTCTTTCCGCTTTTCAGCCCTAAAAATGCCAATTTTTGACACTATCTATGCGGTTTTTCATCCAACACTCCGACTTCGAATTTCTCGATAAAGCCCTAATTTTTAATTCTTTGTATTGCTATGAAAACTCGTCAAACTCTTTGCATTCTAATGCGATAAGCCCATTCTAAATACTACTTCCATAACGATTAACCTCGCCATAATATGAATTTTTTCATTCCGGCATTTGACCATATATTCTTTGTTATTTCGTATCCGCCTGTTATCTCGTAAGGGTGGACTCTAATCCAAACAACTCTGCCCATCAAAGTTGTAGCTAATTATGTACGTCTTTGAGGCATTTACCCCAAAAAATGCCAATTTCGGACACTTCCACGCCGTTTTATACACAACAGTCACACTTGGATTTTCTCGATTAATGCCAAATTTTGAATTCTTTCAATTGCTATGAAAACTCGTCAAACTCTTCGCATTCTGCTCCCATAGCTGTATTCGAAATACTATCGGACTTCTAGACATTTTTGGCGCAACGACAAAAAAAATTTCTTATACAAACATCTCCTTAATAATACTCTACATTTTCGCACGCAGGAGCAAGCTACTTCTCTTTAAAAATTTTTTGACCAAATTTTCGAATATCTTCCATTGCTCTGAAAATTTGTCAGTGTTCGCATTGTCATCACACTTTTCTATTGCATATACTTATATTTCTTTACTTTCTTTGCAGTTTCAACGTTCACATCAAGATTGTTGCTATTCAGGTAAATATTTAAACACTTCTTCAACAGTTTCTAAACAGTATTTATGTGTTATTATGTATGTTCAAGTATTCAGTTCATGATTTCTCCTAGTTTTAAAAAGCGTACTGTTTAGTACGATATCTTTGGTCACATTTTTTAAAGTTTTAGTAAACTTTTCAAACATTTCCTCAATTTGCATACCGCCTTTTTGTCAGTTACATATTCTTTTCAATTTTTTACGGACTTCACTCTTGACAGAGACATCAATTTTTTCTTATCTCCAGATCAAGTTTTTYATATATTACTCTGTACCTTTCACTTTTACGTGAATTGTTTTTCCCTAAGTATATCGCTATTTTTTTAGTGCGCTTACTTATTATTCCCGGAAACTGTCAGGTGTACGCAACTTTTTTTCAATTGTTTTTACAAATTTTCTTCTATTCGGACCTCCTTCATGTGACGTCTAGAAAGCAATTTCGTCTTGAACATTTCCTGGTTAACTACCAATTTCTTTTGATTTACGATTTACGATTTGCTCAATTTTCACATCGATTGTGTTTTTTTCTGTTTTTTTCTTGTTCATTGTATTTCTCAAAAAAGTTCTGTGCCAAGAGAACAAAAAACAAAATTGCTGTTCTTGTTATTGTCATTACTTCAAAGTTATTGTTGTCATCACTATAAAAGTTTTTGACCTTTTTCTAAACTTTTTCTGGCTGACGAGTGTGGTCTGGTGAGAACCCACCTGTTGGTTTAAATCTTTAACGTTCATCTTTTGGAAGTGTCATATTTTTTGCATTTATCACGAAATTTTTCAATTCCAAAGTATCACGCTTCTACTTTTTAGTTAACGATCCTATAAAATACCACTTTCTTCATAGTATTTTTTGTTGACATTTATCTTTTTTCTACACATTTTTACATTCGTACACATTTTTCTTGAGTAGACTTCCGTTACATCATGCCAGCAACACAGGAGTCTCAAATTCAATTTTGGGGAGTAAGACCGTTTTCAATCATTGGTTCTTACCCCACAAACCTGTGGAGACAAAGACGTGACGCTGAGGAAGTTAACAGACAAAACAGACAACACGCGAAAAAGCAGGCGTTTTTTGAGAAACACCATCTTGATCAAAACCAAGCGGAACGTTTTCCTTTTTTGCACGTCTCCGATAATTTAACTTTCTGGTCTAAGTTTTTATCTTGGACATTCTGTCTCTCATCAGGAACACTCTTCTCCCGTCTTTTAAGAATCATCGGGGAAACAAATGCAAAGATCTCTGTTCATGTGCAAATGATCGCTACATTATTCCACAAAAAGACGACATTCCAATCTGTCTTCAAGGCCTTAGCTCTGAAGAGATCTTAGTACTACGACCTTTCAGTCTACATACTGGCGACTTCGTCCGAAAACAGCACGGATACCGTAAAAAACGGATTCTGTAGAGTTTCTTGGTCGCGTCTTTCTATTCCTGAAAAAAGTGATCAAATCGCTGATGCACATTCTAAATTCAGGTGTACGCTGGCATTTCATTACCTAATGCACTGCCCCGATTCTAGATATAGTTACTTTGTTAATCTAAGAGATGTTTACTTGCTTCAAGAAAAAGAACTTAATCTCTACGACTACCAAGAAAATGATGGCATAGAGTGTGCTCTATGGCCACATTTGTATCCTAAACACTCTTGGTGCGAAACTAAGTTAAGTGGCAATACAACGCGGCACAGTTTCTTTTATGAATAAAGTGACTTCGGAAATACTTGACTATTCTCTGGAGTTTGATCTACTACAGTTTGTCTATGACCGATGGTTATTCACGACTGTTTCTGGTGCTATTTCTTCGTGTGCCGTAGCTGGCAAATCTCCTGCTACCTCTCTGGACACAAAGACTTTTTCAATTGAGTATTGGCGGTGGCATCATCGTTTTCTCATCGACGCATTGCTTCAATATGGGAATCCGTCAATATTCATCACTATAAGTCCCTTTGAGTGGTCATTTCCGAAACCTCAGTGGCTTTCACAAGCCCAAGACATCTCTGGGAAAGGACCTACTGAATTAGCAACTTTAGAAACTCTAAATATCGTTCATATTTTAGAGCAAACAGTTCGAGGCTATTTGATGGGGACTAACTGCAACCGATGGACTAATCATATCTTTAACTATAACTTCAGTAGGACTCAATCCAACGTCAAAAACTTTTTCTATCGTTTGGAGTTCCAAGGAAGAGGAACGCCTCACGTCCACGTACTTGTCTGGCTCGATAATCTTGCCACCGTCCAGACTAATCTCATTAGAGCGGACATTCCTTGGAGTAATCCTGATCTAGCTTTTCAGTCTGCAGATTTACAACCTTCCTCTAAAGACGCATTTCCTCTAAACGAAAATCCAAGCACCGTTACGATCAATCATCGAAGGGAACGTCAGCTTTCTCTATATCATCCCATAGATGCTTTCACAATGAATCTTAGAGCTTATCTCTCAACACTTTTGCCCTTCTTGAGGTGTCGTATGGACGTTCAGGTCACTGACCATAGATCTATGATCCTCAATTATGTCACATCATACGTTTCCAAGTTTCATGACGAGGGCGTGCGAAGCGCATTGTACTCCAGACACGTTACACCATACATGGCCGCCTATCGTCATATAGCAGACATGAAACCTTTGGAACCAGAAATGGTCATTTCCTTGTCTCATCATAAGCCAGCCTGGACAAAAAACAACACCAAAAGATATATTCCACCTCGACCTGAAAATGCCAAGGATAGTGCTCTTATTCAGAAATATCTACGACGTTCTCCAGATTTACACGACCTTTCTCTACTGGAATGGCTACGAACACATGACACAAACAAAGCTCTTCCCACTCCTTATAAAAGGGGCATTGCTCTAGTTGGAGTCAAGTTTGTCTCTGTTTTCAATGTTGACTTCTTTTTTCAATATGTTCTTTTGAATGTTCCTTTTTCCAGTTTGGAGGCACTCAGACATCCAGACCATGATCGAATTCCACAAGATTTGCAATGGTACGCAGCAGCAGCTACATTGAAGCATGATCTATGGTCTTCTGATGACAACATTTTTGACTTATTTAGCAAACAAGGAAACAAACATCATTTCGTTGCTAATGTCATTGCATATGTCCATTCATCTTTGGCAACTGGAAATTGTTTCGAATGACGATCTCGCTAATACTTGTGTTCCACAAGGTGATTTTTCCATTAATCAAGAACAACAACTTGTATTATCTAAAATCAAAGTTTTTTTTGTCCTTGAGAAGACGACATTATGCTTCCTTGAGATGCTTTCAAGTTCCACATGTTCCTGATCTCCAGGATAACGACAATGAGGATGAAGATGAAGATGTCATTGATGACGACCTACCACCTGTGCAAAGAAATATTCAGCATGAGCAGGAGTACCATGAAGATCACCCACTTAATGACTGGACAAAAGTGATATCAGTGGAAGGGAAACCGGGCACAGGGAAAACTCGTTGTATGCACGCGTGCATACAGCATCTCCTAGACAAAGACTGACGAGTTTTAGTTGCTACTCCTACTGGATACTTAGCGTCCAGCTATCGTGCTGTTTTTGACGACGCCATTGATGCCAACACTATTCATTCCTCATTTTCTTATCCTGTTGACAATACGCCTCCAAAAGTTAATTTTCTGTTATGTAACTATGAAGCTATATTCATAGACGAAGTATCCATGGTACCCTTGATGATTTTTAGACACATCCTAGACACGATTCAGCAACTTTCCACTAGACCAATTATTATAGTTTGTGGCGACAAATACCAACAACAGCCAATTGTCACCCAAAATCATCAGATCTCACAATGCCATATCTATCACGATCCGCAGTTTGGTCGTACAGCCGTTACATTCACGTTACATCAACAACATCGATGTAGCGATGAAATCTACAATGATATTCTTAACCATCTTCGCCATTGGAAGCCTACTCCTGCCATTTTATCTACTCTACATGCTAACAACCTTCTCAATCAGAGCTCTACCATTTATGACAGTCAGATTATCCAAGCTGTTACAAATAATGCTTCTTCAACAGTGTTGACTGTTTCTAGAGCGGCTGCTAAGAGAGTGAACAACGTCATCATTTCTCACTTTTTCAATTCTATGAATCCGCTCGGACATATTCTTTTCGACGATGGTGATCTTTCTCCAGTTTTCCGAAACATGAAGATTATCATAACCAAAAACATCAACAAGCAAAAAGGATTGGTCAACGGTCAACCCGGCAAGGTCCATCTCATGCGTGGAGACACTCTTCATATTCGTCCATGATTGAAGAAGTAGATGATGAAGGAAATACTGTGTATACGAAATCTACTCGTTACCCAGTTGTTCCGGGATATGCACTGACAATATGCAAAGCTCAGGGGCAAACACTAACAAGTTGTATTCTCTGGATGGAGGTAGACTTTGTTCCTCCAGGAACCGGTTATGTGGATTTGTCAAGAGTGTGTTCCCTACAAAACATCAAATTTTTAACACCTTTGAAAAAGGAACATTTCCGACCTGTTCATTATGAACACGGACTATGAATGTACTTCTCTTTCACATGTGCCAAAACATCTTGCCAGAAAGATGTACCCTCCTGTCTTCTTAACTGACGAACTAGAGTGGTCAACATGAGAGTGGGTTTTCCAATTTATCATTAGTCTCCGTAATTTTCTATAGAGAAGTCTTCATTACTTCTATTATAACATACTTTCTATTTTTGAAAATTCATGTCATATTCACACTATACCCGCCGGTCTCCTTCATTGGTTGAACTAGCGCAGGGCGTGTTCTCAGTATTATTCATCCTCAAGGATTGGCCTACATTGCTTCTTCTACCCACGCCGGTCTCCTTCATTGCTGAACTATCCTAGGCCTTGAACAACCCGATCAAAGACAATCAAAGACAACTTTTTCTTTCACTATGTTATCACTCGTATTATCATTTTAAACAAGTTGAAATCCAACGTCAGTCTGTATTTGCTCATATTACATTTGTTCAGCACATAGTCGACATTTCAGTTCTCAATACTTCCCATAAATTTTTTTCCTTACATGAAATAACATTTGAGAAACTATTTTTTCTACATATACCTTTTGTAAATATACGTTCTTTGTTTGTGCAACTCAGCTGCACGAAAAAAAAATTACAAAAATGATCACCTACATTATTGGGGTCAATGAAAGAGAACATTTTCTTCCAGTATCTTATCACTGGTATTATCATATAAAACAAGTTAAAATCCAACGTTTTCATTCTCAAGGATTTGCACGTATTTCTTGTTCTAATCACGGCAGTGTCCTTCATTGCTGAACCAGCGAAAGCCTCAGTCTGTATATGGCCATATTAAATTTGTTAAGCACATTGTTGATATTTCCGTTTTCAGCACTTGTCATAAATTTCTGTCGTTACATAAAATCAAATTTTTTAAACTAATTTTTGTACATATACGTTTTGTAAATATACGTTCTTTGTTTCTGCAACTCTACCTGCACGAAAAAAAGTTAAACATTATTACATAGGTTATACGTACCTTCGTGATTCAAACTATACTAACCATCTTTCTTCGTTTTTCTACAGTCATGGCCAATTCGTCTCCATCAAAGCATGCTATTTTGGACACTTTCCACACTATTTTCTCAAGCCATATGGCGGGCAGCAAAGAATAAATACCAACACGGAACTCCTAGGAAAACTGAACACAAAAAACTGTGAATGGCTCTTGAGACCTAACGTTGCCCTAAGTGAATGCGCTCAAACCAATCAAGAAAACGTCCACATTGTTCAGAACAGCACTGTCTTCACTGACGACATCAAACAATCCCTGCAGACCAAACTTGCTCCACTCCAACAAACACTGCAGAACCTCAATTCCAACGACAAAACTACCTGTGCTAACAGTCAGGATATTTACAACGTCATGTCCTTCGCTATGGACGGCGACGACAACTTCGACAACAACCTTGCTGAAATGATGTATGTGTCGTCTGCACTTTATGTTGCCACAGTTCAAATGCGTGCAATGCGCGCGATGATGACGCACACCGATTCGTATGCTACGAAGATTGAGTGCGATCACCCTTCAGCGGTGAGCTTCAAACAACAAGGGACAGTACAGTCCCTACAGGCGATGCTGAACAGTACCTGCTTACCAACAGCGACAGCACTACCGAGAGTTGTTGCCAGAAATCTCCTTGGCCATCTCGTTAATCCAGGGGAACAACAACCAGGTCCTGGACAGGCACAACAASTAGTACCACCGGCTATCCATGTCCCGGCACTAGGTGCTGCAGCACTTCAACCTCCTGTCCAACCTCCGGTACAACAGGGAGCTGTTCAACCAGCACAGAACAACCCCATGATGGACATGCTTCTCCAAATGCAACAAGAACTAGCCGAGATGAGGAGACAAAGGCAGGAAGGACCAGGGAGACAAGCAGATACTGCGCAAGACACTGTACATGACGATGAGGAACAGGCCAAAGAAGACTCCCATGACGAGTCAGCCAGTCCACCAGAACCACCCAAAAAGCGACCTAAAAAGAACAAGAAAAAGAAGAAGAATAGAGTACAGTCTCTGGCCGAAGATGAATAAGTTTGTAGCCTTTTTGTTGTGTTTTTCTAAGTATTTCTACTTTGCTATCGCGTATCCGGACTAACTCTGCACGTCAACGTTCAGATATTTAGCTCAGCGCAGACTACGAAGATTGTCCTCGACAATCCTATCTTATACAGATACGGCAAATATGTTTATCTATAGTTTCACAGAGTTGACGGAGTCAAGAGTACAACACTTATATTTAAGATTTCTTTTTTTTATAATATGTTCAATTGTGCTCTCTTGACTAACTCTGAAAGACTAAAGACAACATATTTGCCTTAATATTATGCACTACTATTCTCTTCGACAATCCTTTTGTATACATATTTGGAAAATATGTTTACGTATTGTTTGACAGAGTTGACAGAGTCAAGACTACAACACTTGTATTCAACATTTCGTTTTGTTCTAATACATCAAATTGTTGTCTCTTGACTAACTCTGTCAACCGAAAGAAAACATATTTCCCTTAACTTAATGCACAAATGTGCTTTTCGACAATGTTTTTCTATACATATATGGCGAATATCTTTATGGCTTCAGAAAGTTGACGGAGTCAGAGACTACAAGACTTGTATTCAATATCTCTTGACTAACTCTAAAAAACCAAAGAAAACATCTGTCTCAACGTCGTGCAAAAATGCTGTTTGGCACTATGCTTTTGTATACAAATACCACAAATATCTTTATATGTGGTTTTCTAGAGTTGACGGAGTCAAGACGACAAAAGTTCATACATTTATAATCGTTTAAACATGTGTTAAATCTATTTTACGACAAGTAGATGTCCTAAGTTCGCACATAAGCGTCRCACTACAATATAAGTGAACTATCGAACTATCGATCTAACAATGATTTTAGCAATAAAGAGACTGTCGACAAAATCGTTGCCGGGATTCCCTTATGGGATGGTTGGTTCGACTCCAACTAGCGATCGACAAATGTCTCTTTCACACACATCACGCCGCAAGATGCATAATGTCTACATATCTTATTAGAAGCTTACTAAAATATCGTCAATCTTTTGACAATTCTCGTTTATGAAAATCTTCGTCTAACTCGAACTTGCTCTTTCTACGAACCGGTATAGCTACATTTGGTAATAGTATTAAAAGTTAGACACGTTTCCATGACCTCTTGTCCAACATCAGAGTTCCGAAAAATCTTCGTCTAAGTCACCACTTCCATACATCTCCCGTATGCTCGCAATTATTCTTTGTCTCAACATTGCCATGATTCTTCCTCACGTTTCGCAAAGTGTAACGTCTCCTGCCTTTCCTTCCTTAACACCCTTCTGGTGATAAGCTAGGAGTATCTGTTGTCTTATCGCTTGATGACTATACCTTTCTGAGCTGTCCCGGATGTGAAGAAACTAGAGGGGAGGTAAGAGGGTGGGGTCAATCTCAGAATAAGGCTTGAGTCATCCCTGTGGTAACTATCCTGGCACCTCTTAAAACTCCTACAGACTAAAGGATCAATATGCAACAATATGCAGCATTCATACTTACAATCAAAATCAAGTCAATTTTAAGCCTTTTGTTCAGCATGAGATTTCTCTTCATATTGAGCTTAGGACACCTGAGTTTTCGTTTGACAGACTAGAATCAAGCTCAACAGGGAATTGGCTTCAATAAGGCAGGAAACTTATCAGTATTTTCATTTTCAGTATTCAATTGTTTCAGAATTGTCTTAGATAGAATAAGGAGGATATGTGTAGTCATGTATATTTTATATAACATTTTCAGATGTCTGGCATTTCTGTACAACAAGTGTCAATGCAGTCCTGAGTGATAAATGTCTCTCAAGATTTTGGCATCTAGAATCCCAAGGCAATCATCAGAGCCTCCTGCTCTTTCACACCTTGCAATGAAAAATGCCAGGGTGCAACCCTAACCGAACGCCAATGCTTGTTGTTACACAGGCACCTATATCATCAGGATGATAAATTCATTGTCACCTATGTTGTACAGGTAGTAGGCCACATACACACAAAAAAAAACATCCCAAAAATGTGTGAGGGTGAGAAAAGGAGGTAGCAAAATTAAATAAAGAGATAATAACCGGTCAAGTGTAAACAATGTTTCAACTTCGATGCTATTATCTTTAAAGTTATTTTTTAAAGTTGCCTTCAGTTCATAGGTGACTTTCATTAACTTCTTGAATATACGCTTTTCCTTCTTTTCTTGGATAACATGAAAAGTCACATTTATCTTTCTATTCACTTTTTCACTGGGCACTTCTGTTTGAAATGATTCTTCAGGCTCGAGAATTATTGCTGTACTCACATTTCCCATCTGTTCACAAACCTCTTTAATAAGACATTTGATATTCGTCTGCAGAAGTAACTATTTTGTCTCTATTTTTTTAATATTTTTCAAAATCAATCCATCTACAACGTTTTACATTGTGCCAGCAACAGAAGAGTCTGGAAAATAATTTTGAGGGGTTAGACAATTCAAAATCGTCGGTTCTTACCCTACTCAAAAATGGTGATACAGAGATGCGATTCTCTAGAAACAACGACAACATCGCGAAAAATGCCCAGTTACACCTATGTTGCTACTTTAAGGAGACATTGGTCAAATGAAACCTATTGAAACGGATGAAAACAAAGTTAGACAAGTAGAAACTCTTTTAGACAACGATTTAGCGCGTACATTTACTAATTTTCGTTTAACAGTG